GGTAGGTTAGAAGAGAAACGTAGGCAGAAGGGGGTTTATGGAGGAGGGATGAAATCTTGCTGAATGTCGGGTCACTCGTTTAAATAATTAAACGCGTAATTACCGGAGGCAGGAACACATTTTAATGAACGACGACTAACCCCCCCCTCCCCACCCCACCCCTCACCCCTCGCCCCTACCTACTCACCCACCCTTTTTCGTTTCGTTCTCTCTCAGGCTTTGATAGAGTCGCAGTTTTTAACCCTTGCGATAACACCACCACTACTACCACCACCACCACCATAATCATCAGTAGCAATAGTAGTAGTAGTAACATGGAAATATTCCAACACTTGGAAGAAAATCGTTTGGAGTAGGCAAAACTCTTCCTGAATACACACACACACACATACACACATACACACATACACGTATGGTGAGTTTCTTGACTTTGAGAGACTACGAGAAACGGGAAAACCACACGGGTTTTTTTTTTTCTTACTTACTTACTTACTTACTTAGCTTTACCCTTTACCCTTACCCCTTAATCCCTTCCCCCATCTATGATTTTCTTTCCTACCCCTTTTTTTTTAAATTTTTTTCTCGAGACTTTTCGAAAGGTTTCAGTTTTGTTTTCATTACGAGACGACGTTTCTTTCTTTCTTTCTTTCTTTCTTTCTTTCTTTCTTTCTTTCTTTCTTTCTTTCTTTCTTTTGTTTACTTTTCTCTTTTTTTTTTTTTTTGAAGTGAAGGGGTTGCATTTCTTTCTTTTTATCAATGAAAAGTAAAAATGAGATCTTTTTGTTTTTATCTTTAATTCAAATTTGTTTGTTTGTTTTTTTTTCTGCCAGAACTATGTTGCGTGTTCTTTTTTTTTTGTTCTGCTAAGAAAATTGGTTTATGTGTATCGTGGGGTATAGAAAGGGTTAAGGGATGATTTAATATGTTTTTGTTGTTGTTGTATTATGAATCAATTGGAAATTATGATATTGATAATGATATTTTTTAAAGTATGTGTTGAAATTTTAAATAACAAGGTAATTTTACGTTTCTTTTAAACTGTATTTGTAACGAAACACAAACGTATGAAAAAGTTTACAATTCGTGTTACCTCATTCGCACTGTAACGAGAATATTTCGAGAGAGAGAGAGAAAGAGAGAAAAACAGAGAGAGAGAGAAAGAGAGAAAAACAGAGAGAGAGAGAAAGAGAGAAAGCAATACTTTTGTTCTGTCAGAGTTAGAAATCAAAAATCACCTAACGAGATAGCCAATTAGCAACGATCACACAAAATATTCTCTTACGAAATGGTATTGAAAATATATGGATACAAAAAAAAATCTATCTGTTCCACAGGGGGGAAAAAAAAAACAAAAAGAAAAATAAAAAAAAACAAAAGAGAAAAAAAATACGACCATTCTACAATAATGATTCATTTTTCAGTTTAAGTCAAATTAATGGAAAAAAAATATATAAAAATAAAATAACGAGAAAGAATAAAATCAAATAAATGAACAATAATGGGAAAAGTATGGGGAAAGTATGAGGTAATTAAAAAATCTTGTGGTAGATAGAAAAAATATAAAAAACTCACCCTTTATATAAATGTATTCTTTATGGAAGATTATGTATGACTGACTGATGATAGACCTTTACTACTTTAAGTAGTAAAGAAAGAAACAAACGTGTATATTGAAAAAATAGCTATTTCATATTTCAACTTTGATTTTTTCGAGATAGAAATATTTGTAATTACAGCTTTAAATATTTACAATTATCATCATAAGTTTATAAAAATTACATATAGTTTACACGCAGTATTTAAATAGATAATATTCTATATGACTGACTGATGATAGACCTTTACTACTTTAAGTAGTAAAGAAACAAACGTGAATATTAATATCTCGAAATATTTGCTATTTCAAATTTCAACTTTGATTATTTCTAAAAAAAAAATATGCATAATTACAGCTTTAGATATTCATCATCATCGTCATTATCATAAAAATCACATAAAGTATGCATGTAATATTTTTAAGTAGAATTCTCGTATGTTTGTATATGGTCTGACTGATGATAGACTTTTACTACTACTTTGACTATCAAGAAAATAAACCACGGATATTTGAAAAGATCTCGAAATATTTGCTATTTCACGTGTTCAGCATTGATTATTATTTACTTAGCTGTGATATACTCGACCAATAGGAGATCAACATTTATTTGAAAAATCTTTTTACCTATCTAAATGTTATTTCTGTTTCTTTTTTTTTTTTTTATTTTTTTTTCTTATTTAATTTAAATTGCCGTTTGAATCTGTGTTTATTCACAGATAATTGAAGTTTAGTAGAGAAATATAAAATCCTAGGAAAGGAAACGTTTGTAGAAGTATAAAACATGAAACCCCGAATGTGGGGTGAGTTTGTCAAAGGAATACGAGCCTAGTCCTTTTTTTTTTTTATCTCATTTAGGTTTCAAGGATCGTGAGGAATCCTTCAAAGTACATACACAACTCTAATAAAATAGCTTAATAGAAAAATCATTTAAATCAGGTGATATATTCTTTATATTTATCGTTAAAAAACAAAAACAAAAAAACTCAACCCCCATTCCCCACTTTTCCTGTTAACCCATAGAAGTTTGATATCGAATAAACAAAAATGAATGATAAAAGAAAAAAAAGGATTTATATACGCATTGATTTCTAGCAACATTTCTAATTGAAAGGGTGCTTATTTAAAGGTGGTGGTTTTACCACAGTCTACCTTGTGGTCAAGTAATACTACTAGTCGGCTCACAGACTAAAATCAGCCCTTTTAAGTGGCCAACTCATTGGTTAACTCAACCGGACAAAGTTTTGTCTCAATCCCTACATTCCACCTTTTGCTGTTCTCTTCCAGACATCTAAATAATCCTCTGTTCAACCCCAAATTTTCACCCACTATCCACCATCCACCACCACTACTTCCACCACCCTTCTACTACTCATGGATATCGAAGAAAGTTCGATACAATTTTAATGGCCTTTCAAACGTTTTCCTCTCTTTGGTATTTGCTTGGATAGCAAAATTAGCTTCCTCTTAAATGAAAATACGATTTCTGTTGATTCCAATAGGTTCTCTCTTTTATTAACCCCCTACCCCTGTTTAAATTCTTCCTTCTTCGATGTTCTCATCCTCCTTTTCATTTTACTCTTCATCACGCCCATAGTCACGTTCTGTATGGGTTTGCTATCTGTAGAACACGTAATAGGGGGATCTTCAGAAACTTTGAGCTTCTAGAAAGGGTGTTCTTATTACATGAATACTACAACGTTGTTGTGGGTTGTTATGGTGTGAGTTTACCCTTCGTGTTTATTCGTGTTATGTTTCTCTCTTTGCTAATTGACGTTTATTTTATTTCAAGGAACACGTTTGAACATATTTTGAGATCTTAATTGGCAAGTTGTAATAAATTCAGGATTATTATTATTATTATTACTATCTATTATTATATTTGATAATAAAAATAAATATTAAAATAATACATTTTGAAATATTCGTAGAAAAGTTTGCACTAATCATCGAAAAAGAAAAAACAACAACAACAAAAATACTTGGGTCCATTTATTTTGTTTTATTTCTATATAAAAATACTTCTGATTTAACGCATTTATAAAAAAAAAAAAGGATGAGGTTGGTTTGGGGGTGGGAGTAGGTGGTAAAAAAAGAAAGGCAATATATTTGGCGTAGCGATGTTTGGGAAATATTGCTTCAAGGTTTTCACTTATTTACTTTATCGAGCAACCCTCTTGACCAGAAAGCTCACGGGGTTTGGAAGCCGTGGCTCTTTCTACAACGGTAATAACCATCTACTACAAACTCTGATTCCATGGAGAGAGAGAGAGGAAAAGAGTAAACATTTCCTGCTCAAATAACACGCAACGTGCAACCATAATATTCCTATATTCGGCCGTGGGCACTCAATGAAAATTGCCGTCCCGTTAACATTTGGGTTTAAATGTCCTGTTTACGCTTTATCGAGAAATTCTATCGAAACATTATTAACACACGATATGTGTGTTTCTTCCAATGAAAATTTCGATTTATATTATATCATCTTATTTAACACAGATTTTTGTTGTTGATGTTGTTGTTGTTGTTACTATTGTTAAACATCATTTATTATTTACTTGTTTCTTTTTTTTTTTTTTTTATATGAGAACATTTTTATTCAATCAACATGTGTATCGTTATTATTAATTTGTTCTTTTTCATTCTTCTAATTTCTTGGTTTTATTCTTGTTTTTTTTATTATTTTTTTATTTTTTTTTATTTTTACACGTTTGAGTAACATAACGTTTTAGTGAACAAAATAATGTTGGAACTTAAATTGGATTGAGGAATTTAAAAATTGTTAACTGTAACATTAACGAAAAGTAAAGTGAATCAAATTGAAATCTATGAAAACAAAATACAAATTTGAAAAATACCAAGTACAAAATTAGATTGAAAACAAAATTCATATCCAATGCAATTAATGTATTTAATTAATATTCTTATTTATTAAAAAAAAACAAAATCTTTTCCTTTTGTAACAGAGAAATAGAATTTATTTGATATATAAAGTGAATAGATAAATTGTTTGTTTTTTTTTCTTTTTTTTTTTTTTTTTGTGATGATAGGTTGCTTACCTGCACGTAGAGTTACCTCGCGAGACAGTATAGTCCCAACGGAACTGGTAGCTCGACATCTGTATCTAGCGTTGTGTACCTCAGCACGAAAGTCTTGAGCTAAAAAGGGTGGAAAATAAAGCGTACCGTTTCCCAACAGTTGTCTGAAACAATAAAACAAAATCTATGTTATCATTCAACTTATTTGCAATTAAGGTTAATTGATGCAACAACACATAAACCTAATATTTTTCTCAATAGAAAAAAAAAAGAATAATTTCGATTGCAAATCTATATTATAATTAACGATTATTATTATACTGTTCTAAATATTTACAATTTTTTAAAATTATTTTTTATAATAATTTAATAATATATTAAGGTGTTAAGATATTTTTTAGAATTTATAAATATTGAATAGATAAAATTTCATGAAACAAAAAGAAAAAAGAAACTACATGAAATAGGAAAAAAAATAAAGGATCATACTGTTGTAGGAATAAATTATTAACAATGTATAACAAAAGGAAACGATACAAACAATAATAATAATAATAACAAAACAAATAGAAATAGAAATAAAAAAATCAACAACGAAAGAAGTGATCTCTGTCGTGTTGCGTTGTCCGGTGTATTCTCTCAATGCTAAAAAAAAAAAAAGAAAAATAATATAAAGAAAAAAAAATTGTAAAAAAATCATAAACAAACAACAAACAAACAAACAAACAAACAAACAAACAAAAAAAAAGGTAAAAAGTGACGCAAAGTAAACTATGCATATCAGAATAGGGCGTGGACAACTCGTTGTGTTGTTTGCGGAAGCGTCGATGCGATATCGTGGCTACGATATTTCAAAAAAAAAAAAAAAAGAAAAAACATTAAAAATAAAATAAAAAAAAAAAATGCAAGGGAGAGAGAGAGAGAGAAAGGGAAAAGGGTTAGTATGCAAAAGTGTGTTATGTGTTGTTCATAGTATGCGTCGATGGAAGGACACCAATGATAGGAATGGTGCTAGTGGTGATGGTGGTGGTGGTGGTGGCGATGCATGATGCAAACCCATTGAAAGGGGAATGGGAGGACAAGAGGGTTTGTTTGCGTATCGGACTGTACGTCAAAAACGCGAGAAGTATTCTTTACAAATTCGCTAGTGCGATTCTTTCATTGATACATACTATATTCGATCGTTTTCGTTTGTTCGTTTAGTTTGTTCGTTTAGTTTGTTCACGTTCTACCGCATACATCAGTTTGGTTGGTTGTTGTTGATTCATCGATATAAAATGTATATATATATATATATATTTTTTTTTTTTTAAATATTACAAATAGTATATGTATGTTAAAAACCAGTCTTTGAAGTAAAATAATAATTTAATGAGAAAATAATACCAGGATTTTATTAGAGATAGTTTTGTTCTCATAGGTGACGACTATAATCGGCAGTCTTATAACAAAACAGAGGTGAAGTATTTTATGATATATAATAAAATGTGTGTGTATAAAATATCATAAATAAGTAAAGTATAATACAATATATAAAAAAATGTACACATAAAAATATAATATAAATTAATTTATAATTTTTTTTTTATATAATTCTTCTGTGCGTGTGTGTATGTCACTAAACTCCTCCTAAACGGCTAGACCCGATTATAATGAATTTTATTTTGTGTCTTCAGATGGATTCGTGAATGGTTCAGATTTACAATTCGGTTTTAATTGAAATTGTTTATTTAATTAATTTTTTTATTTATAAATTGTTATACGACAAGTTTATAGGTAGAAGTTAGTTTATATTTTTGGTTGATATTATATTCGATATATTTATCTTATTTTGTATCTTCTTTATATATATATATATATATATATAATTCTTCTGTGCGTGTGTGTATATCACTGACAATGTCTGTCGTATCCGCTAATATAGATCAATGGTGTGTATTTGTGTGTATGTGTGGACTCATAGGATATATAAAATTTATATTTAAATATTCGTAATCGTTGTTAAACGTTAATTCATTCAAATGTATTATAATGTTCATTATAATACAATGTTGTTCATACATTATAATGTTGGTTCATGAATGGTATTATTTCGTATTCATCTAATTAACATTTAATTGAAATATTATATCAATGTGCAATTAAGTAAGATAATAGAAAAAGGAGAAAGAGAAAGAGGGAAAACACATTTTCTTATAATCGTGTAAGGATTTTCGTGAGAAAATGACTAAGAAGAAAAGTAAACGTAGCTAAACTTATCAGCTTAGAGAATACATTTATTTAACAACGAAAATTCACTTTACTTTTCCATCATCATAGTGTTTAGTCTAATTTCAACTTAGCACACGACAAAGGAGACTTTCTTCTTTGTGAATGTTTCATTTTATAATACACTTTGTATACTTTTAAAAGTAATACATTCATGCACACATACACACAAACACACTAAGCAATACTTACATACATAAGTAATAAATATTGAATAAAATCAATGAGAATAAATTCATTGAAAATAATTCATTGAAATAATTCATGGAAATTTTTTAATGAAAATTTGTTGATAAATCTTTTGATAGCAATGATAAGAGATTAGATTAGGGTCTTCTTTAGATTATAGGCTGAAAGCTAATGCAAAGCTTATGCGTGTTTACGTATGTTCAAACTATATATATATATATGAGGAGAGAGAGAGATAGAGAAATTCTCTTTGAAGTTGAAGTAAACAAGTTGGAGAATGTTGAAACACGTTCGTGTATTCGATCAAGGCCGTGTGGTTTCTCTTATTAAACATTATACCAACCATAACGAAGAAATAATTATCATCCTAAAACCCCTTGGGGCTTTATACCTGCAAATACAAAAATAAAAAATAAAATACAAGCAAAAAAGGGATGAAATAAATGAGATAAAATATTGTTGTTGTGGTTGTTGTGGTTGTGGTTGTTAGTGGTGAAATAAAAAAAGCCCAAGAAATATTTCACACAGTTAGAAATTAGAAATAGAAGAGAAAAAATAGTTGACCTTACAATGAACAAGAACTGTTGTGACGATGACAAAAGGTACAAGAAATTTGTAATCCTGACTAATATCATTCCCATTTCTTTCTTTCTTTCGTTAAATGCATCATCCTTTCTAATCCTTTCAACCTCTCCCACACCCACCACCACCTTTTAGTTTTTCTCAACCAAATACTATGATACATCATCCTTCATATGCATTCATTTCTGACGTATTCTGATATGTATGTATGCAATGTATGTGCAAGTGTTTGGCTGGTTAATTTACATTGCTGATGTTTAAACAAATCCTAGGGACATGGATTAAAAACTGTACCTGTTACTTTTACCTGGATTACTTTTGGAGAAAAACTGTTTAGATGAGGATGGGGATGAGGAGGAGGAGTCGAATAAACACAGACAAGGGTTTTTTTGTCACCTGGTATTCTCGCGAATCTCATAGATAGAGAAGAGTCAAGTATCGTCGTGTCTTGCATGCAGGTGAATGCAGTTTACGAGATATGCATAATATTATACACCCTATAAGAATTTTTCTTATGTGCGTTAGTGCTTTCAGTGATAAAGTAAAACTACAAACGAGAGGATGACGGTTTAATAACGATGGTAACAACGACGGTGGTAGTAACGGTGATGGTAATGGAAAAGTAGTGTGGTGTTGTGTAGTGTGGTGTGGTGTAGTTTTGTAGCTAAGTTTATAGTAATAGTAATAATAATAATAATAATAATAGTAATAGTAGTAGTGTTGATATTACAAATAATAGTAGTAGTTATAGTAAAAATAATATTAGTGGTGGTAGTAGTGGTGGGTGGTGGTTGTGGGGGTGGTGTTGCAAAGTTGAGAAGAATTTCAGATTTGTTTCGTAGAAAATGACGTAGACGAGAACGAGGATTATAAAAAATAGTTTTAGCATTTCCTTTTCTCTCTCTCTCTCTCTCTCTTATTTTTTATTTTATTCTTCGTTCTTAAACCCAGCTTCGTTTTCTTTCGTGTCTTCCTTCCTTCCTTCCTTTCTTCCTTTCTACTTCTTTTTCTCACTTTCGTCTTTCAACTTCAACGACGATGAAATTAAACGTTCGAGTAAGAACCGTGAAAGACCGACGTCCTGGATGAAGTTGAATGGAATAAAAAAAAAAAAGAGAGAGAAAGAGTAAAAAAGGAAAATGTCGTTCAAAGCAGTCTCACGACGACTACGGTGATGAGGAAAAGGAAGAGGTGGAAAATGGAGGAAGTAGAGGTGGTGGAGGAGGAGGATTTCCATCCGACGTGATGGGATTGGACGTTGAAATCGAATTGGAGAGGACCGGGTTGCGTTTCCACTCGTTGTGTCCATTCACAGCAGGACGATTGAGATTTCTAGTTTTCCTTCAATTTTTCCTACGAGTTCTTTTTATTTTTTTTTTTTTTATTTTTCTTTTTCTTTCCGGTTAACTCATTTCCAAATTAACTTGCATTTTTCGAAGAATATATTGGCTTGTTTGAAAAGTAATTTCGTTTTTTTTTCATTTTGTGTGTGTGTGTGTGAAAATGAAGACAATTTTTGTTTCAAAATTAAACTATAAGGCCTTTTTTTATAAGTGGTCATAAACAATTAAATTTGATAAATTTAATGTCTCATTGATCTCACGTGTTCTTATTTGTCGATTTGCATCAACGAATGTTTTTATTTTGTCCGAAAGAAACGAAATTACTTTTCGAATAAACCAATAAGTTAATTGGGACCGTTTATTTTCAAAGTGGCCTAACTCTATTCGAAATATTAAAGGTTTTACGTTTAAATGTAATTAAAAATATACGTACAAACGAGTTATACAGCTTAAGTGTATTTAAAAGTGTTCAATTGAACGATACTTTCCTATTAAAGTAATGCCCAATTATTATTAAAGTGAATAATATGCGTTTTCTTTTTTTTTTTTTTTAATACAAATAGAGAAATGGGCCCACTTTCAAAATAAACGGGGTGCCAATTATATGGAATATAAGAATATGAGAAATAACATTGCAAATTATGGATAATAAAATAAAAGAAGAGACAAATGGGGAGTCCAGGGTGTAGGATTTATGATGAATACCACCCCCTCTCTAACCCCCATGAAAGATTCCATAGTCTTCACAGTCACAGATGATACTATGACACCAATCACCACCCTTTTTCATTTCTTCTCCACCCAAAACCCCCCACCCACACCCATTCATTTCTCCCTTACTTGGAAGTTAATCAAAATTGAACGACTCTACTTTTTTTTTTATTTTATTTCTACCCTTTTTTTTCTTTTTATTTTTTTTTTATTTCATCCCTTCGTGTTTTCCCGTTTCGAAAATATCCCATCGACTTTTTTTTTTCTTTTTTTTTTTTGTATTTTTTGCTCTGTGTTTTTTTATTCTTCTTCTTTTTCTTCTTTTTTTTCTTTTGGGAACTCTCCATCATGCGTGTGTGTTCATTCGATTGCGATCGATACTCTCTCTCTCTCTCTCTCTCTTGGGTAGAAAAAAAAGGAAAAAAAAGAGAGAGAGAGAAAGAGAGAAAGAGAGAGAGAGACAAAAAACACGGTTAAATCAGTGGCTCGGACGAGAAGGACTTTTCAATTTCGCGCGAACACTTCATCATTCTCTCCCCCAACCAACCAACCACCCACTCTCACCCAACTCCCTTTCCAACCTCCTCTTTCCATGCCACCCAACCAACCCCTTCGTGTGTTCCTTTTTTTCCTCTCCCCCCCGTGTAACCTTCCACCCACTCTCACCCCCTGTTTTTTATTCCTTTTTTTTCTTTGTTTTTTTTTTTTTTAATTCAAGAATCTCTTTGATACAACGCATCAATACTAAACTCGTACAGGAAAGTCTATCGAGGGTTTATTTCATCTCTCGTAGGTTTAACTTTGAAAAAGTTCTCTCTCTCTCTCTCTCTCTTCCACTCTTTTTTCACTCTTTTTCTTTCAATCCCTTGGCTAGGTAGGTACTACTACTGGAAAGACCACAAAAGGTTCATAAAAATCGGAACTTCTCACTTCTCATCGTGTACTCGAGTAAAATTACGTCGAGTTGCTGGATAAGCACCATTAGAAGAGAGAAAGAGTGAGTGAGTAAGTGAGTGAGAGAGAGTGAGAGAGAGAGAGAGAGAGAGAGAGAAACTCAGAGCTTGATTTTTCCTTCCTTCCTTCCTTCCTTCTCTTCTCTTCTCACCCCCTTTTTTTCCTTTTTTTTTTAAACCCTCCTCTTTAATTTTTTTCTTTTTTTCTATACCCCTCTCTCTCTCTCTCTCTCTCTCTTTTTCTTTCTTTCTCCTTCTGTCAGTCTCATTTTCTCTTTTTGTTTGTTCTTCTTACTCTTTCTCACTTAACCCTTTTTTAAAATTTTTTTTTTACTTCGTTAACATATCCCTTTGTATACACAATCATCCATCCATTCATCCATTCATTTATCCATTTATTCGTTCATTCGTTTATTCGTTTATTATTCGTTGATTTTTATTTTTTTTTTTGTGTGATTTTCTCTTTCGTTATTTTCTTATTTAACTTTATATCATATTATTTTGAGTATTAATGATAATAAACAGAACTTGTTCATACAATTGTTAGATAAATCGTTGGAATTTAATTTTTAAATGTAAATACAAATAAATAAATAAAAAAAAAAAAATAGAAAACTAACTAACCTTAGGGAATGTTTTTTTTTTTAATTTAATTTAATTTTATTTTATTTAATTTTATTTTTTTCGAGTATTTAACGATAAAAACAGAAATTGTGCATACAATAATCTCGTTGGACAAATTGGTGAGATTTAATTTTAAAAGTAAAAAATAAAAAAAAAATAAAAATAAATAAAAAACTAACTGACTTTGGGGAATTTTTTTTTATTTTTTTATTATTGATACATGAATTGAAGATTAGATTTACCATGATGTGAAATTGATTTAGATATCCTGTATATATATATATATATATATATATATATATTTTTTATTTTTATTTTATTTTTGTTTAATTCGATTGATGACAAATTTTTCAGTTGCAAGAGGAAAGAAATGGAAATACACATTGGAAGATAAAAACAGATAAATAAATATATATATAGATAGTGAAAGAGAGAGAGAAAGAAAGAGAGAGAGAGAGAGAGAGAGAGAGAGAGAGAGAGAAGATGGAAAAGCAAGAAGGTAACTTGAAGGAACATTTCGATTAACGAGAGGAAATAGTTTCCTCAAATGTGGTCGTTGCTATTGCCGGACATTACTTCGTTGAATTTCCGACAAGAAATCTTCTATCTTTCTCTCTCTCTATCTCTCTCTATCTCTCTCTCTCTTTTTCTCTCTCTCTCTCTTTTACGATTCATTTCTCGTTCGAAAGATATCGTATGTAATTATTTATACTACTGAGTTTATTGAAAGTTTATCAAAAATATAATCGCAATTTATTAAAATTGAATAATATATATTTTTATATAGAAAAATTCAGTGTGTAAGAATGTTTGTCCATCAATAACTTTGAAACTGCACAATCGATTTTAACGAAATTTTTTTTTATTTTGTGTCATATACTTCAACTTAGAATATAGGATTAATTTTATCGCGTTTATTTTGTATTTTTTATCGCAATTTTAACGATCTCGCGTTTATTTTATATTTTTTTTTTTTTATCGCTAATATAAAGATTTAATTATTTAGAGGGGTTATCTCAGTCTTGAGGTACTGTAAATTGTCGATAGATGATGTCGAATCTTTTAATTCAATTATTAGATATATTCAGGTTATTTGGTTTTTCAGATTGACATGTGACATAACAACTAACCTTACTTTTTCTATTTTTTTTTAAATATTTTTTTTTATTTTTTTTTTATATGATTCCATTCTAATTGTGGTATTATTTTGTCCCCATCTTTATTTATATATTATATATTATATATATAAAAAAACATCATGTTGTTTTATGATCAATTTAAAGTCCCAGAAATTACTAGTGCATATTGACCAGTATCGTAATTTTCAAATAGATGGCACTGTATTACAATTTAATCATTTTACGTTTTTCTCTTTAGATTTACATTAACCATAATTAATCATATGTTTATTAAATAATTTAAAATTATATTTGAAATTAACATTTTATAAGAAATCTACATCAGCGAGTGGACGGTTTAGAATTTTAGTAATAAAATACAAAAAATATTAACATAGTGCAAAGAAATATATTTTTCAAGAGACAGAAATAGAAATGGAACAAAAAAAAAAAAAAAAAAGAAAAAATTAGAATCGATCGTTTGCTCGGGACAGGAAAGCTCGTGCAATTTAGGTCGTCACGAGGAAGTTTCAAATCCGTTTGGTACTCTGATCCGCTTAGGTGAGGTAGAAACCGGTTGCGGCAAAGTGCGCCCGTTGTAAATTTCGAATCGAATTTTTTCCAACGGAAAAAACCAGCATTTTATGGCTCCGTCTCTCTATCTCTCTCTCTCTCTTTATCTTTTTTTCTTTTTCTTTTTTTTTTTCTCGAGTAAACCGGACACTCGGAAATATTCCTAAAGGATTTACTTATGGGGATGATGTTGCTTTCGTAAAATTTGAAATACACGAAGACTCTGAAGATTACAGCAAAATCTCCGAGAATTTCTTTTTATTTTTTTACGATATTTTTTTATTATTATTATTATTGTTGTTGTTGTTGTTGTTGATGATTAAAGCTCGTTTAGCGTAAATCCTATTTTTGTCTTCCCCAACCCAACCACTTTTCCATCATTCCATGCAAGCATAAATCTCAAGCCAATAATTTTCATTTATTTGATTCCCTGCATTTTGGTTATCCCTCGTTCGCGTTAGTAGATGATAATGGAGGGGGGGGGTGGGTAGAAATGGGGGTGGAATATGCGTACGATACACAATGGTAAAAAATATAATACCCCAAATTACAAATAAAAATAAAAAAAAAAAAAACAGAGTAAAAACAACGGAGGGAATTATTATCTAAAAATAATAAAAATGGAATTAATCATTGAGTGAAACAAAAATTTGGGATTGTTGTTGTTTTTTTTTATTACTATTTTATTTTATGGTAACGTTGTTGAAAGGATTTAAAAAAAAATAAAAAAATACATAATAAAAGAAATAATAATTCCGCGCGTTCATGTTGGATTATTAAAAAACGCAATGTGAAATAAAAGAAAAATTGAAAATAATATTTGTAGGTTTTTCATTTTTTTTTTTTTATTTGTAATAAGCTGAGATAAACTTATTTTATCAATGAAGTATTTAAAACTATTTATTTGTAAATTCGATAATTATATTTTAATTTAAATTATTAATATAAAAATAAAATAAATTATTATAAATTAAAATATATTAATGTTAAATATTTAATTTGAATAATAAAAATTGATATAATAAATTAAAATCAATAAAAACTAAAGTTACAAAAATCAATTCGAATTTTAAAACGAAATTGATGTTATTTTCCTTACCTCAATCCGGGAACCGCTGAAACCGATCTTTGATCAGGACTAGTTATCCAGGTAACGTGAGGTGTTGGACTCCCGTGTGCTGAACAACTCAATTGTGAACCAGTTGTATTGGAAAAAACTAATGTGCTTGGTGGCTCGAGAACGAATTCCGGACCTTGCTGACTGAGGACAATTCCGAGGATGCTCCACGAGACTGCTGCAAAATCAAAATCAAAATTAAAATAATAATTGAAAAGTTAGATACAAATAGATATAGTTAAGCCTTTAACAAGTTAACTGAGTTCTACGAGTATACTCGTCATGCGTAAAAAGTAACCATTATTTGTTATTTAACGAATTATCATTTTTATTCAAAACAAAACGTATTCTTCAATTTCAAAATGAGTTAGAAGAGTTTCAAGATTTGTAAATGAATTTTTTTGGTTTATTTTTAATTTGTTTTATTCTCAAAAATATTCTCAAAATTCAAAATGAGTCAGAAGAGTTTCAAAATTTGTAAATTATTATTATTTTGTTTATTTCAAATTCATTTTATACTCAAAATAAGCAATTGAAACCTCAAAACTCGTAATCGGTCGATTGTAGCGACACACAGCGATAGTTCTGCACACTTTCAAAATGGAGTATCATAGTTAACTTAATTTTATTACTTTAATTGAACATTATTAATTTATTAAACGGTAGAAATAGGTTCCTAAACAAAATACCTTGCCAGATAAAACAAATTTTTGTTTTAATTTTCAATTTGTTTAAACAAAAAGAAAGAAAGAATGAATTCCAACATCGGTCGATACTAGCGACACACAGCGGTAGTTCTGCTCACTTTCAAAATGGAGTATCACAGTTAATATAATTTTATTACTTTAATTGAACATTATTAACTTATTAAATGGTTGAGATAGGTTTCTAAACAAAATACCTTGCCAAATAAAACAAATTTTATTTTTTAATCTTCCATTTGTTTAAACAAAAAGAGAGAAAAAAAACTTCGAGAGAAAGAATAAACTATCAAAGTAAGAAACAAAATAAAGGAGAGACTGTAAATATGCATAGAAAATACAAGTAAAAGAAGACACCGTATAAAACCGGGAGTATATATATATATGTGTGTGTGTATGTATAAGTATAGGTTATACTTTATACGTTTTAACGATGCTAACCGTATATTTTCTTTTCTCCCTTTTACCCTTTAACAATTTTTTTTTTTTTTACTTTTAACTTTCATGTTTCCTTTTTTACTTGTCAAAGAGAAGAAAAACTCACAAAAGGGTGTAAGAGGAGGAGGAGGAGGAGGAGGAGGAGGAAGAAGAACAGAAAGAGGACGTAAACGTTGTAAATATGTGCATGTGCATGTGCATATGTGTTTTTAGTGTATGTGTGTGTGTGTAATCTCGTATAGCAAATGTAAAGTTACTTTCTCCAACGATACTACAATCTCGTCCAAGTAACGTTTTCTTTTCCTTCTACAACTTTTTGTTCTTCTTCTTTCTCCCTCTCTCAACCCTCAAACTCTCAACCCTTAACCCTTAACCCTTAACCCTCATTTTCGTTGTGTGTGACTTTTTATAGAAATATATATATATATATATATATATGTCATACATACTGACAATTCGCATACTTTGACTAACCTTACGAAGCTATGTATATATATAAATGTGTGTGTGTATAGGTTAGTTAAGGGTGGAATGGTGGTAGTGGTAGGGGTGCTGGTGGTAGGCTGGGTGAGGTCAAGGGTCTTTCTTGCCCCGGGGGTCATTCGCACGTGGCACACCTTTACTTAACGAGATCGTTTAGAAACCGTTCGTGAAAATTTTTCACTGAGAATCCTTTCCTTTACACATATATATATATATATATATATACACACACACACATATATATATATATATACCTAAAGGGTGAGGAAGAAAGGGTGGGGGAAAAATGAAAAGCAAAAGGAAAAGTACGACGAACTAAAAAGCTCATTCGACGAATATTTTCTATTTGAATATTTTCATTTATTTAATATATTTTTTTTTTTAAATTTCTTACCACGAAAGGGGTTCGTAGACCAAAAAAACGTAGGGGTGGATAGGGGGTGTATTGCTATTTGTATATTTTTTTTTTCTTCTATTTTAATATTTTCATTTATTTATTTTGTCTTTTTTTTATTTCATTTCTTATCACCAAAGGGGTTGTAAACCAAAAAAAGGAAGGGTAAGAGGGTATTAGGAGGGTGCAATTTTCCTAACTTAAACGTGTAAAGAATGTAAATAATAATAAGAATAAAAAAAAAGGAATACAAACGATAAGAAAAAGAAAATGAAAAAGCATAAAAATATAAAACGATTAAACGAAGGAAAAAGAAAGTAAAGGAAAGGAGTGAAAGGAAGAGAGAGAAAGAGAGAGAGAGAGAGAGAGAGAGAGAGAGAGAGAGAGGGAAGAAAGGAAAGGGTTTGGAAAAAAAAAGGAAAGCAATAGGAAAAAGAAAAAAACGGGTAGAAGGGAATATTTCATTCGCGTAACCCGCTTAAAAATCAGGGATTTAAATTTCACGGACGCGTGCACGTTGAGATATATTTTTACCCCCTGTTAAGGTTCGACGTAGATTTCAGTTTCCATTAAAATTTATGTTAAAGCTTTTTAAAAGAGAAACAGAGAGAAAAATTCAGAGAGAAAGAAAGAGAGAGAGAGAGAGAGAATATCCTCACACCTTCCCCCCATTCCTCAACCATTCAGTCATTTTTATATTGTTTTCTCTTTCTCTTTCTTTCTATCTTTCTATCTTTTTATCTTTTTATCTTTTTATATCTTTTTTTCCGTATCTATTGTTGTTTCTTTCTCTCTTTCTCTTTCTGTGAGGGTGTTTTAATATTTTTTTTTCTCTTTTCTTCTTTTTTGTGTGTGCTTTGTTTTACAAATTTTTTTTTGTTTTGTTTTTTTGTTTCAATTCACCCTCGCTGTTTTTTTTTTTTTTTTCATTGCTTTAGGTGCAATAGAAAAAAAGAAGAAAATAAAAAAAAAAAAAATTAAAATAAAATAAAACTGATGAAGAAGAAGAAGAAGAAGAAGAAGAAGAAGGTGAAAAGGGGTGGGTGGTTGGTAAAAAAAATTCCTTCCTTCCTTCCTTCCTTCTGAGGGGGGAAAAACTTGAAACAAAAAATGAAAAAAAAGTTACACGACGAGAGTGAGTTTAGGGTTGAGAAAGGGGGTTGGGAAAAAGGGGTAAAACACAATGAACGAACGGGTGATAGCTTTTACACGCTTAACTCTATTCCCTTCACCCCTTTAGCAACCAACCCTCTGTAGTCATAGTCGTAGTCTCTTTGAAATTCGACGATCAGTGAAATACAGTTTTGTCTTCTTGTTCGGTTTGTTGAGAGAAATGTTTAAAAGATTTTTAATAATAAAGAAATAAAAAATAAAAAAAAAAGATCATTTTTAAACAGTTTCAAAGATTTTTTTTTATGATGATAATGATGATGATAATGATGATATTTAATTGAACGTTCGATAAACTTTTATGGTGTTTTTTTTGTTTTTTTTGTTTTGTTAAAACATTTTTGTCTAAGATGAAGTAATATGAACAAATAATACAAAACGATGATAATTATTTTATTATTATATATTTTTTTTTATACATATTTTTAATTTTATATTATATATTTTTATTTTATGTATTTTTATATTATATATATTTATTTTATCTATTTATTTTTTATTTAAATATTTATTTTTATATAGTATTTTTAATTTTATATATTTATTTTTATATATATTATTTTTAATTTTATATATTTATTTTTATATAGTATTTTAAATTTTATATATTTTTATTTTATAAATTTAATTTTATATAGTATTTTTATTTCATATATTTATTCTTATATAATATTTTTAATTTATAATTATAATAACTATCTTACAATAATAATTTGTATATATTTTTTCATCATCATTATATCATCATCATCATCATTATCATCTTTATCATCATCATCGTCATCATCTTTTTCATTTTCTTTTCATAAAAAAACCAAAAGAAAAGAATTCAAAGATTCATCCTCACTTTCCCGTGGGGTTTTAAAAGAAAAAGACGATGTGTTCTCCCTAAAAAAAAAAAAAAAAAAAAAAAAAAGAAGACTACGATGATGGTACTGTTGTTAGTATTAGTGCAGGTGATAAATAGTAAAGGTAGTGTTATAAGCAAGGTATATACACATAGATAAACATAGTAGTGTAAAGGAAAGTAAGGGTAGGGAAGAAGGGTTGGAATGGGTAGTGTCGGTTTAATTTGGTCGACTTCGTTGCTAGATTCGAGAGTTGGTCTTTCAGCAAACGCAAGGGAGCGAAACGACCTGTTTCGTAAATCCGATCTAAACACTGACTACTCCTCCCCTTCCCCTTAAACCCCTCTTCAACCCCTCTTCAATCTCTCTTCAACCCCCTCCCCTCGTCCAGCATACACGGTACACATTGTTCATAACCGAGAAACCGTAGGAAATCAATTCCGCTAAGCCGAATTCGACCCAAATTTCACATCGATTTGACGGAATGGTCCCCCCCTTCCCCTTCTTCTACCCCTCCTCCTACCCCTCCTCCCCCTCCACTACCATCACCTCACATGGAAGATTAAATGCCCACGAAAGCGAGAATTATCCCTATCCCTTTATCTGTCTGTCTGTCTCTTTCTCTCTCTGTGTCTTTCTATTTGTGGGACTGTCTGTCTCTCTGTGTCTGTCCATCTGTCGGTCTGTCTGTGGCTCTGTCTGTGGGTCTATCTGTCCTTTTCTTTAAATCTCACTGTTTCTGTCATTCATTTTGAGATTTCATTCATTTGATAGTTTATTGGATGAACGCGTTTTTATTGGGTTGTCCTGAAAGTTCGTGCCAATTTTGACGGAAGATTGAAATGTAACCAATTTTTATTTTTTTTTTATTTTGTTATATATTTATTATAAACAATATATAATAATAATACAATAAAATATAATAATAAGAAATAAATATAATAATATATTAACTTGAAAAATTTCGCCTTTTAAAACTTTTCAGGTTTTTTAGCTAAAAAAAAAAACATTAATGTGCCATCTATCGAAAATCAGCACGAACTTTCCGGACACAACCCAATATATATATTTGTTTTATTATATATAATTATAAAAGTAATATAATAATATATATATATATATATATATATATATATATATATA